CTGGCCGTGCGGCCCGCTGCACCTCTCGTCCCCGGTGACTGCATCGCGTGCGCCTCTGACGCTCAGGTCGTGCGCCCTTCACTGTCCTCGTCTCTGCATTCGGCCTCTCGGCGGCAGCCTTTGGCGGCGCCCGTGCCCCCCGCCGCTCTTCTGCGACTCGCGTGCGCCTCAGAGGCGGCCTTCGCTCCCGCCTTGCTGCTGCTGTGTCGGTATCCTGTTGCCACGTCGCCACACTGTGCGTCTCCGACCTCGGGCGCCGTCACACTTTCTCCCCCGCCACCCACGCCCAGGTGGCTCATTGAGCGACCGATCCGAGGGGATCCCGCTCCTGAGGGCCCGGCCGCGCGCGCGCGTCCCGCGTTGCTCGCTCGACTTTCTCCGCCTCGTCTCTGCGCGCGAGGCCGCGACCGCCAAACAAGTGTGCGTGTGTGCGCGTGTGGGTGCGTAATCGATCGGCCGGGCTGGCCAGAGTGAGCTCAGGAAGCCCCAACGATGCTGCAACCCCTTTGGTCCCAAATCCCCGCTTCAGCAGTCCATGTCACAAGCCTTCCTCACAGCAAAGGGAAGCGGCCCCTTGAAATACGAACGTCCAGTGTGCATGCCATTCTAGCAGGAACACATTCTTTAAATGAGCTGTTCTGTAGCCTCTTAGCGAGTTGTACCACGTGCGAAAAGCGAGGGTCAGAGAGTTTAATGGTGTATCCAAGCAACGCTCCGTTTTGACAAAGAAACCACCCCCATCTGGGCAACTACTGTACATTTTTGCATGTCGGTTTTACTATTATTGCGGACGTCCCAAGCGAGAGCCCCTGCTTGAAAATAGGCCGCCTCACATCCGTGCGTGCATTTGCTATGTGTTTCCAACTTTCCAGCCAATCAACATAGGGAGCATGTCCCTCTACAGGAGGAGCATTCAAGCATAATCAAACAACAGTCAGGGATGTTTTCTTTTTGGGGGGGATACTTGGGATTTATCTTCCACAATCAGCCTGTAGGAGGACATGTCCAACTTAATTTTAGCTCTATGATCATACATGGTGAGGGCATATCAGGGGAAACGCCCAGCCCCCCCCACCGAAACGCTTGGGGGCGTGGCAGGGAGAAGTTATTGGGAAGGCCTTACTGCCAGTGCCGCCGACCCTGAAGGGGGACGACGACGACGGCGGCGGTGGCGACGACGACGACGCTGACTCTCTGGAGCCCTTCTTGGGGCTCCCTTGGGGGCCTATTAGGCTCTGTTGGGGGGCCTTTTGGGGGACTTCTCGGGAAGCTCCGTGGCCACTTGGAGCCTCCTCGGAGCGGATCTGAGGGCTTCTGGAGGCACATGGGAACATTCGCACCACCCCGCAACAGCAGATGAGAGTGAGGAGGGGACCCCCAGGGGCGGGAATGTCCCGGAGAAGGGGGTGTCCGGGAGGAGGGGCGTGCCCACAGAGGCTGGGGGAAGGGTTCCGAGACACTTTGTCCACAATGGGGACCACCAACCCCTTGTCCCCCTTCATCCACGGGGGACCGCCCAGGTGGCAGGGCACGACTCCCGGGACCCCTCCCGGGCCCCCTCCCTTTGCTACCCCCCCCCGGGGGGCCCACCGGGGACGCTCCTGGGTCCTCCCCCCCTTGTACCCCCGCCCCCCCCCCCCGCCAGGGAATGGATCAAAGGGAAGGGGTTTCCATTCGAATCAAGTGCGACGTCGTTTGATGTCCGCCCTGGCAGAGGGGTGGAGCGGCGACGGCGACGACGACGACGACTCGAACAGAAAAACGTCTCACACATGCCGAAAGGGTCGGCGGATTTCTAAGGAAAAGTGATGGTGGAGGACAGGGAGGAGGGGGAGGAGGAAACGAAGCAGGAAGTAGGAGGAGGAGGAGGAGGAGGAGGAGGGGGAGGAGGAGGAGGAGGAGGCGGAGTAGCAGGAGGAGGAGGAGGATTCCTGGGATTCCTGGTGGCGGGCTCCTGAGTGCAAGCTCAGCCCCTATACCTCATTCACGCCTCAGGGAAACTCATGCCGTATTTAGGCGGGAGTCCCCTCTTCAACCTGCTGAGATTCTGCTTCCCTGTAGTGCTACAGGGCCTGGGGTGCACCTGGTCACGCAGAGGGCAGATCACAGCCAGATTCACAGGGGTCCCTACACAAAAATTTCCACATGCAGCACAAAAAAGAACTCCTCGGTACACAAACAACTGGTGTGAGGAATGGCACAGTGAAACACTCGGATGATGACCGCCATCGGGCCCGACTGGCTTCCACGGACCGATCCCAGCGGAGGGCCCATCCCTCGAAGCGGGACCCAACACCACGGGGCCAGGACAGGCCTCAGGCCAAAACTGATCCAAGCGGCCTTTCAAGGCAGGGAAACGTCTGGCACATAACTTACATTTAAAAACAGTGCTCATCTTCAGGACATCATGTCCTTGTTGGACGAGGCGGCATTTACGTTGGTTGGCACTATTAACCCTAGCCCTCTCTCGGTGTTGCTCGCGGCCTAGTCTATCTTGGCGGGTACGACCACAGGTCAACGACACGTGACGACTGATAGCTAGGAGCCGCTGCAACACGAGGACACAACAGGAATCGACGCTATGCACTGTTCTGACTAATTCAGGATCCAACGCCCCCCATTCGGCAGCCACCCCAGCGAAGACATCTGCAACCGAATTAGCAACAAGGCCGTGGGGAGAGATCTGGTACTGGTCGATCTGTCTCCTGGTCGGATGACTTTTAACCCAGGTCGCACGAACATCACCTGATCGTCCCTCAAGAGTGGTCCAAACTTTTTGCCATATGTCCAGCATGGTAGAGTCATCCACCCGTGCTCCTTTCCTTCGGAAGGCCCAGACAATAGGCTGGTAATCGATGTAAACGTGAATTGGGCCCTCGGTGTAAACCAAGAGCTGATGTAGTGCAAATAGTTCTGCTCGAGGAGAGCTCTGCACACACATACCAGCAGTAGGCAGGGTCCCACAAAGGATACCTCGAACTTCTAGGGAATCAGGGTCCAGGTGAACAACAGACCATCCGCATCTCCTCAACCTCCAATCCTTGCCGTGTTCTCCTCCCGAACCGTCAGTCCCAAACACTCCTCCAACAATTTTAACTCCAGAGCTGATGGACTCAAGGAAAGATCCCCAGGCCCAAACGCGGAGCTGCCCATCAGGAAGGTCATCCAACGTCCAGCCCATGGGGACCAACCCTCGGGTCCAAAAACAAGAGGCGTCAGTGACCCCTTGGCGGGCATCATCAGTAAACCTATCAGTGAGTCGGATCGCAGAATCCTCGATATTTTTGTTGTCTTCACACTCCCAAAACCGGTGAAAAGGGGTCTCTGGGGCCAAACCACACCTGGGACAAACTCCGTTGCTTTCATACCCCGAGTCTTTTAACCTCATTTCAGGCCACTGCCCACCTATGATCAGGTTGGTGAGCAGTGCAGCTCCTTCTCCATCGCCATTCTTCTTCAAAGAGACGTGGAGCTGCTTAAAGACTGTAAAATCAACACCTCCACGGAGTCCTTCTCCACAGAAGTGATCTGCAGCTCGTTGCCAAACTTCACGCGACACTGCAAGGAACACTGCGTGCCACAGGAAAAATCTGAAATCGCCCGAGTCAACTTTCACGTGGTACGGCCCAGGGAACTTCCAGGAGATAGGGGATTCAGGACGCCCATGGAGGTCCAGGATACAAACAATAACCGCCGCAATAGGTCCCCTAACCCGTCGCCATCGGGAGGTCGGGTCGATTCCATTAAACCTGTTCACGAGGTTCGACCAAACTTTGTTAATACTCATCTTCTGCTTTGGCATCAGGACGGACCAGGTTCTCCCCCACTCAAGCAGGTGTTCATACCGTAATCTAAACCCAGGGTCATCTCGCATCGGGTTATTAATCGACAAAATCGTAGTGGAGCAGGCGCCTGAAGCCCACAAGCCTGATGCTTTCGCAGCTTGACCTCGAAGCCGCTGTACAAGAGAGGGCGGGAGGCCAAGCACTTGGTGACTCCAAGTGGAAACAGCCTGCACGGCTGGCTTAAACAAGCGCTTCGCCTTCTTATTAATGCCTGCCAGGAAAGACAACTTCTTGGAGCGTCGGGAACCCTCAGCCTGCCGTTGTTTCATTTTCCACATTGTCCTCCTCCTTCCAGCCGTGGTACCAACGCCTAAATCCTTAGCAGTATCTTTCACCATCAGAGGGAGCCCAAGATTAACACATTTCTGGTGCACAATCCTAGTCAAACCAACACTAGAGCCCACGATACAAGATTTAGACGAAATAACACATCCTCTGTCAACCAGAGCTTGGTGCAACTCAACGATAGCTGGGACAATATTATGAGCAACTGTTTCAGCACTCCCTTGAAGGGATTGGGTTAAGTCATCAACGTATGCAAAGATGGGGACCTTCGGGATTCTCTGGTGGGCAGCTTCCAAGATGTCATACAAGTAACATTTAATCCACGGCATAGACTGGGAGCACCCTGCCAGGATTGATTGTCCTGCTCCAAGAACTCGAGACACTACAGATTCCACCTCAAGCACCCTGGGGGCGGTGTGGATCAGCAGCCCCATGTACAGCATGAGGGCGGAATAATCAACCTCTCTGGCCAGCCTGACCAGCTTAGAGGGGTCAATGGAGTCAAAACATTTTTCCATATCCCAGTGGGCCGAAAGGGACTGGCATCCTTCTTCACGGGCGATTTCGTGGACCAGCTCGCGAACCATGGCCGCTCTCAGGGCCGAGGAGTTTTTAACGGCGGTATCCCAAAACGCAACATGGAAGGAGGGATGTGGGAGAACATGGACGACAGGATCAGGAAGAGCGGAGGAGGAGAATAAGGATGAAGAGGAGGAACGCGAGGAAGAGGAAGCGGTAAGAGAGGAATGTCGGAGTATGGAGGAGGATGAGTCGGGAGGTAGGGAGGACATGAAATGGCAGGGAGGAGGATGAGGGTGCAGGAGGAGGCGGCGGCGTAGCTCCGTTGGGAGAGGCCATGGGGATCGGCAGGCTGCCACCTGGGCTGCACCGGCTTCACTGTCCTGCTCGTCGCCATCACGGGCTCGTGACCCGCGCCCCGCGGCCTGGAAGGCTGGATAGGGGGAGGAGGAGGAGGAATAATAGTAATCATAATAAGAAGAGGAATAATAGTAACAGTAATAAGATGACGAATAATAATAATAGTACTAAGAATACTAGTATTAATAATAATACGAATAATCATACTAAGACTACTAATAAGACGAATAGCAGTAATAAACACAACAATAATCATGATAATAATAATACGAATAATAACACTACGAATAACAATAGTGCTACTAATAATAACAACAAGAACAATACACACAAATAATAAACATAATGATGATATGAATAATAGTAATAAAAAGAAGAAGAGGAGGAGGAGGAGGAGGAGGAGGAGGAGGAGGAGGAGGAGGAGGAGGAGGAGGCGCCTTCAGCGCGCGGCCGCGGGTGCGGGCGCGCGCTACGGCTACGGCAGGAGAGACCGCCGCGTGGCCGCCTGTGCGCGGCAGGAGGAGGAGGAGGAGGAGGATGAGGAGGAGGACGAGGACTGGGGAGGAGTGGGGGGCTTCGACCTGGTCAAGGTCAAGGGACATGCCACGCGTGCTGCCGTCGAGAGCGGCCGAGTTTCGGCCTTTCACAAGGCGGGGATATGATCTCGCTGACGAATATGCGAAGCAGGCCTCCGAATTCTCGCGCCTTCCCAGCTCGGTTCGGGCACCCTTGGAAGCTCGCGCGCAGGTCTTGTCAGAGCTCGCTACCTGGGTGGCCAAAGTTGGGCACAGCATGGTGGCGATCGACTCCCTTCATGTCTCCCAGCGGCGCGAGGCGAAACCCCGCGCCTCGCCGCTGGTCGTCCTGCCGCCTCCCCCCCTCATCACGCCTCCTTGCATGCTCTCTGCCGATCTTGGGCATGCCAGAGTTGCGCTCGGGGGCGGCAGGCAACACATCGTTCATCCTTTCCAGCTTGCCGACACACGTCAGTGGTGTGTCGCTTGTGCCGTGTGTGGAGCGAGTGGGCCAGGCACGGTGCTGGCCCTTTCACGCCCCTGCCCTGGGCCTCCTCTCCCTTCCTCGTGGGGCGGGAGGGTGTTGAGGGGGCTGGCGGCGGGGAGGTATCAGATCAACAAGGCCTGGCACCCTTTGCGCCAGGCCTGGGAGACAGGTCGTCTCATCAGGGCTGGCGGAGCTGGCCCTGTCTCGCCAGCGCCCGCAGGCCCGATCGCGCCCGCAGGCTCGCCAGCGTCTCAGGAGGATGATGCTGCAGCAGGCCTGCGGCGGCAGCGGCTCGGCGCCGCCCTTGCTGCCACCGCCCGTGCTGCTGCTGCCGCTGCCGCCACCGCTGAGGTGCGGCTGGTGGAGGGCGTGGAAGCGTAATTCGCTGGGCTTTTAAAACCGACCCCTTTCAGTCGAAAGGGGTCGGTTTCCGCCTTGTTGTATTTTCCGTTCTGTCGGTGGGTAGGATCGAACCTGCCCGCAATGTCGAGTCTAGGAGGACGAGGAAATGGGATGTGGCAGAAGTATAGCCGATTGTATACAAGTGCATGCACAGGCTCACACCGTCATTATTCTTTTCCGTGGTTGCAATCGTGGTAGCAGCAGAGGCAGCAGTCGCAATTGTTATACATGTCGTTGAAGTCGTTGGAGCACGTTCATGAGCATGATGATGATACGGATCTGATGATGATGGTGACAATGATGACCATGCTGATGACGGTGATGATGATGACGATGACGATGACGATGGCGATGATGATGATGATGATGATGATGATGATGATGATGATGATGATGATGTTGATGATGATGATGATGCTGATGATGATGCGGATGATGATGCTGTTGAGGATGATTATGATGATGCTGATGATGATGATGCTGCTGCTGATGATGATGCTACTGCTGCTGCTGCTGATGATGATGATGATGATGATGATGATGATGATGATGGTAATGATCAAGATGACGTAGCACCCCGCAGCTGCGGATAAGAGTGAGGGGGCGGCGGGGACGTCGGCAGTCTGCGAGGCTCTGAAGAAGCCAGCCGCAGGCGCCAAATTTCTACAAATTCCATTGCGAGCCCGCCGCAGGCGCCAATTTTTTCGTCAAAGCAGCGTTGATGGGTCGCGGGGCGGGTCGCAGGTGGGTCGCGGGTGGGCCGCGAGTTGGTCGCGGGTGGGTCGCGGGCCGGGCCGCGGTTGGTTCGCGGGTGGATCGCGGGTGGGTCGCGGGTGGGTCGCGGGTGGGTCGCGGGCTGGGTTGCGGGTGGGTCGCGGGTGGGTCGCGAGGTCGGTCGCGTGTGGGTCGCGGGGTGGGTCGCGGGTGGGTCGGGTCGCGCGGGGGATGACGCCAAACAACAACAGCAACAACAACAACCACAACAACAACAATCGCAACAGCAGCAGCAACGCAAGAGCAAAAGCACCACCAACAACAACAGCAAGTACAGCAGCACCATCAACAACACCAGCAACAACAACAGTTACAACACCAGCAACAACAGCAACAACAACACCAATGACACCACCACCAACAACAACAATAACAACGCCACCAATTACAATAGCAACATAAGCAATAACAACAACCACAACAGCAACGCCACCACCAGCAACAACAATGACTACAAACAACCACCATCAACCAAACAAACAAACAAGCAAACAGACAACCAAGCAACGACATCAACAACAATCCGCATCGCGGAATCCCACTTCAGCCACGCACCCAGGGACAGTGAATGACCATTCGGCCCCCTCACTCTGATGATGATGATCATCATCATTATCATGCCGATGACGTTGGCGATTTTGATGATGGTGATGTTGATGACGTTGAAGATACTAATGGCGATTACCACCATCATGATTCTGACTATGACGATGGCGTTGGCGATGACGGCGATGATGATGCTGATGATGCTGCTGCTGATGATGATGATGGTGATGCTGATGATAGTGATTATGATGACGATGCTGATGATGCTGATGATGCTGATGATGATGCTGCTGGTGCTGATGACGAGGATTTTGTTGATTGTGGTTGTGGTGGTGATGATGATGTTGATGCTGATGATGATTCTTATGATGAGGACGATGACGATGACGATGACAATGACGATTTCGCTGGGGACGATGCTGATGATGCTGCCGATAGTGATGATGCTGATGCTGATGATGATGAGGATGATGATGTTTATTGATATGATTGCCATCCTTATTGGTATGATGATGGTGATGCTGATGATACTGATTGTGATGATGATGTTGATGATGATCCAGATGCTGCTGCTGCTGATGATGATGATGTCAACGCTGGTGATGCTGCTTCAGCTGCTGATGATGCTGATGATGCTGCTGATGATGATGATGACGACGCGTATGCTACTGTTGGATGATCATGATAAGTTTCCTGATGACCAGGATTGCGATGACGACGGCGAGCGTGTTCATGGTGGTGGTGATGATGCGGAGGGTGATGTTGAAGCTGAGGCAGATATGGATTCTGAGGCTTATGCTGGGTCTGATGCTGTTGCTGCTTTTACTGATGATGATGGCCAGTTTGAGGATGAGGATGAGGATGAAGATGAGGAGAAGGAGGAGGAGGAGGAGGAGGAGGAGGAGGAGGAGGAGGAGAACAGGCAGCAGGAGCAGGAGGCAGGAGCAGGAGAGCAAATTAGGAGGAGGCGGAGGAGGGAGGATGAGGAGGGGGAGGCTGTGGCAGCTCAGGAAACAGGAGGACAAGGGATGAGGAGGAGAGAGGAGGAGGAGAGGAGGAGGCAAGGAGGAGGAGGAGGAGGAGTGCGGGAAGAGCCTAGGAGGACGGAGAGGAGGGCGGAGGATGATGTATGAGGATGAGGATGAGGAGGAGGAGCGGAAGGAAGAGGAGGAGGAGGGGAGGCCAAGGAGGCCGAAGGAGGGAGGAAACGGAGGAGGCCAAGGGACTACGATGGGAGGAGGCAGAAGGAGAAAGGAAGAGCGAGGGTGAGAGGAGGGGGAGGAGGAGGAGGAGGAGTTTGGAGGAGGAGGAGAGGGAGGAGGAGGAGAATGAGGAGGAAGGAAGGAGGAGGAGGGCATGAGAGGGGCACATAGGAGGAGGAGGAGGAGGAGGACGGAGCAGGCGAAGAAGGAGGAGGAAGACGAGGAGGAGGAGGACGAGAGGCGGATGATCATAAGCTTCTCTGGCAGGTCGTCCCGTTGCTCCCCGCTTTGCCGCCGGGCAGCCAGGTACTACGCGCAGCGCGGCGCAACGGCCACGTCCTTCGTCATCTGCTACCTCTGCACCATCATGGCGCGGGGCAGAGTCGAGCTAATCCCTCCTCCGCCCCTTCTCCTATCTCCGCTCCTCGCTCGGAGGGCGAGGCAGAAAGCCGCGATCTTCGCACGGCTTCGGGCCTCCTCCGGCATTTGGAGGCCAGCTTGGGAGACCTCCGGGTCGTCCCCCGCGCTCCACCTCCGCTCGCTCCTCCCCCCTGGGCCCCCCTCCTCTCTCCTCCTCGGGCACTTGCAGTCGAGGCGCCGTGATATGGAGCAGTTCGGTTTCAGAAGTGGCTCGCTGTTCCTTGGGTCACTCCGTGGCTGTCCTCCCAGCGTTCCTCGTGCACCCAGGCACTCGGGGGACACAGGGGCTTCGTTCCTTGTGTGGCATTCCCGGTGGCAGCAGCTGGACTGCGGTCTGTGGCCCTGCTGTGGGCGCGCCCAGCTGCGTCCCGTCTTCGCGGGGCGGCGGGGTTTATGGGTGTGGCGTTGCGGTCAGGGTCCGTGCGCAGGGTTCGGGTGTTCGGGTTAGGGTGGTACACTGGAGGCCCATGCCAAGA